TGACGAAGAAATAGACTGGATTAATGAAACCAAATACCTTGGAGTCACCCTTGACCAAAAACTTACCTTCAGAACCCATTTCCGGTCCGTAGTACAAAAATTTAAAATCACCACAGCTACTATGCGACCTCTTCTTGGTAGAGAAAGCAACTTATCTACTACCAAGGAGGTTAGAATAGAAGGATGGAGGGTTCGCAGTTTCCTCCACTATCGGGGAATGAAACTCCGCCGAACAAGCGGTGTCCATGTTTATGACTTCAAAACATTGCATTACGGCAGTGATATGTACGTGTTTCTAAGCTGTTCTGTGCATTTATTTTCCAGTAAAAATATGTTAAATTTATAATGAAATCCCTCGCTATTGTTGAATTTTTGTTTTAAAGTAATAAAGATGATATCCATAATTTACTATGTACAGCAAATTATTAAGAAATAGTTCGAAATCTAAATGCATGCGCATAACATTAAAGCCTTTAAAAAATGATGTTTCTGCATATTTCACGGAATTTGCTTAGGTTAGAAAATAAATCTTAATAAAATAAAACAGATTTATGTGAATTCATTGATTTCAGTTTATGCGCATTTCATATTTATTAATCTCAAAGAAACTGCCTTTAATTAAGTTGAATTACAGAAATACACCTATATAAGTTTTTGGATACATCTTTCCACATGTTCAATTGTGTAAATATTTTACTTAATTTTATCACTATACTGCCCAGAAATTTGTAAGTTTATGCAAAAAATTTTTAACAACAGAACAGTTTATCTTAACTTAAAAAAAAATGAATAATAATTAATATATAAAGAAAAGCATTGCTTTATTTAACACCTTTACAATTAATAAAAATAGTAACAATTGATTTCTTACTTTTCATGAAAGTTATAAAACGAATTAACTAAAACGTTCAAATTATACAATTTAAATCCTACCATATAGCATTGTATCTTAAGGAACGAAGATACCAGCTATAAACAGAAACATTAAAATGTATTTAATATATTTTGATTATAGTTATATTAAATAACCTATTTTAAGTCCTTTTTTTTCACATCTGGAAAGAAAACCACATGACATTGTGATATTTTTTGACATAGTTGTCATATTACATAAAAAAAGAAAATTAATACTTACGTGTGAAAAATAATGCCCGGAATTTTTTTCGAGAATCTATTTGTGCATCCATATGCAATACAAGCTGACATGCTTCAAAAAGAAAAGAAAAAAATGTTGCAATGACAGACTTCCTTGCACAAGTCACGGTGATAACAGGAAGATGGCCGCCAAGCTTCACCGTTTGAGTTGAACCTTCCTTCAAACCTATTGGGAACATAACCAGAATTTGTGTTGCACAAAATTTGGGAACGCTTAATTTCAATCATCACGGAAGTCATCTGGAATGCAAAAAGAAGAAGAATATGGGAATAGCGAAAGAATTGGACCTGGTCCAGGCGCTGAACTTTGCTTAGTAAGTATAATGTTAATTACGCCTTCATTTAGAGTTTATATCTTCTCTGATGTTTATAATGTGCAAGTAAAGTGAAATTCTTGTGTACAATAACCTGAGTATCTGCTAATTTCTGTAATAATAGCTATAATTAAATTAGTCTAGGGTTAATGTACCCGTCGCCAAACATCGCCAATGTAGTTGTTTTGAATATGGAAAAGAAATTTCTCTTCTAATATAAAGCGCGGATTTTGTTTTCCTGTGCTAATTTGTGGAATTTTACTAATGTAACATGAAAATCATTAGCATATTGAAATTTATTAAAAAATAAATAATAATTTGGAAAGTCAAGATAAAATCTGAATGTTTGCTAAAGATATATGTAACATTATACTATAGTTGCAATATCGTTGGAATGATATATAATTTTTTCTTTATTTTATAATCACTATTGTTAAAAAGTTAGATGAGTTGTTTATGCACGGTGCCCACTACTGTTTCTTGGTTAAAATAACTTCCAGAATTTTTGACATTGACATCTGAAGTCAATAGATATAAATTGAATAGTGTGAGACAAAATATATATAATCTGACTTCAATAATTGCAAGGATTGTGCAAGTTATTTATAATCACAGTATTATACAATTTGGCAATGGAGTAAAAGATTTAGAAATGAATGCAGAACATTCAAATTAGTATTTTCTTGTTTCTAATATATAGAAATATAGTCTATTTTCCAGTATAAAAGTTTTACTTAAAGTATGGGAAAGCAGATTTGTTTCATGCATGATCTTTATAATACTGGTATGAAATGAATGAATTTTAATCTGTAAACAATTTTTTGTTAATATTGAAATGCGTTTCTTTGGGTACATTTTTAGGCACTTGTGGATCATGTCAGACAACATGCAATAGAAAAAAGATGTCCAGTCGTGCATAAATTTTTCCCATTTTGTTATTTCATTTGCTTTATTTGAAGTACTGGCTGATTTGTGCTGTTTCAGTGAATCTTCATGAATATATGGGTCACAATGTGTATCCTATATCCTTATATTATGTGTATCCTGTTTTTGAAGAATAATCGTTTTATTTATTCATTTCAGTAATGCATGAGTAAAAGATAGTATGTGTTACATCATTTTATCTAAATTTCAAGGATAATCTTTTTTCATTTTTATATGGCATGTTATTTTTCAGTATAAAGGATAGTGAAAATAAGTTGGTATGTGTATCTGTTTTTGAAGTGTAATGCTTAAATAAAAAGATGGTGTGTGTTCCTTCATTTAAACAAAAATTTCAAGGATAGTATTTTTCAGTGTTGTACGGTTTTTGTTATTTCTCAATGTAAAGGGTAACAAGGGGAAAAAAAAAACTGGTATGGTATATCTGTTTTTTAAGCATGATAATTTTATTTATTTCTTTAGTGATGCATATATAGAGAGAGAAGGTGTTTGGTCCAACTGAAGTTATAATAAATCTAATTTTACTAGATCTCTCCCTCCCCTCAGGTGTAGAAAATTTTCAAGTGCAGAAAGTTTATTTGCAGAATTAATTCATTTCTGATAAACTTATTATCATTAATTTTTTTATATAACATGTTATTAAGTTACACATTTGACTACTGTGTAATAAAATTGCATTTAGGGCAAAAAATTAACTATAATTTTGCATCTGGTGACTAATATCATATGCTTCTAAGAATATTACTTTAACTTTTTCCATAATTTTTGTATTTCAGGAACATGAAACTGTTATTTTGATATACTTAAATAATAAAAGTGTGTATCTGAATCAATTAATGGATACAAATATTTTACAGTTATTTTTAGAAGATATTTGCCATATCGCTTCTAATAATTCATAAAGTATGTTAAAATATAGGTAAATAATTTGGTGCAGCAGAATTCAAATTTAGGGTTGCGAATTACATGGAAAATATAGTCAATCATAAGAGACTAAATGATTTTTATTGTCATGATTTGCTTCTGGGCTTAAGAATGTACTTTTCGCCCGGTGGAAATTGTCATCAAACTGTCCTGAACAGGCTTTTTGTTGATAATAACTTCCAGCCTTATCAGTACCTCCTTTTGAGTGGAGGGTATGCAAATATAGTACCCAATTTAAATTACATTGTGATTGTAATAATATTGTGGTATTAAATAAGTGATTATAATTAAAATTTAGGTAATTGCATTGTAATTATATTACATTGTATCTGTGAACTCTTAATTTCATTACTTTTTGCAATTATGTTGTAAGTGCATAATCTAATTGCAATAATATAATCTATTCACAATTACAAAATAATTATAAATGCAGTTACATCTTAAGTAGAGGCCATTTTAATACTTTTAAATTTTCGCAAGATAACTTCCCATTAAGGTTCATTTGGAGGAAACTATGCAAATATTAAAAAAGAAGTTATGCTAAATTTACATATTTTGTACAGTACTTTCTTGTTATAATGCTGTTCAATATATCTTCAATACTTTTGTAAATTTAACGACATTCTTTGCAATCACTGTGGTGCTTTAAAAAGAAGTTTCTTAGTTATGCTTTCTAATAAGAATGTTTTTAAAACTAAAGTATTATGTATAATAACTAGCAATTAAAAAAAAATTGACTGCATGAAATGCTGTTGCTGTGTAAAATAAAAAAATAAGCTTTTCTTTTATGCTTTGAAATGAATTACATGTGGTTAAGTCATCCTTTTACAATTTAAGAATGTGGTTAACACACATTCTTAAATTGGACAGGTTTTACCTAAATTATTAGTATAAAATATATAAAACTATGAATTATTTTGTAACATAACTCAAATTACAAAATTCATTCTATATACGTTCAAAGTTATTATCTTTTATAGGAATAACTGTTTTTTTAATTTAGGTAAAAACTTGGATTTTTAGAAGTATTACAAATACAATGCAACACAAAGGTGATCTGATTGAAGAGGAAGGACTTTTTATTACGGTTTCTAGTTCGTATTTATATTACATTTGGATGAAAAGAAAAGCATCCAAAACACAGAATGCTGTACTTTCTTCTTCCATATATATGTTATGAAATATTTCACACATTTAAAAGAAAGTGTTTCTTCAGAATCTTGCACAATTATTTCCATGTACCTCAGACTTAAATGACAACATATTCTTAAGTTATTTTTTTAGTATGAATTTACAGTGTTTTTATGGAAATTTTTGTTAAAATGTCATTAAGATAAATTTTATTTGCACACTCTACGCTTTAACTATTTCCCCATTTGACACTATTGAAAGTTTTTATTCATATCTTATTTATTATTAGTCTGCTAACGAAACTGAAACATCTAAAGAATAAGTTATTTTGAATATGTTTACAAAATATACGCGAAATTTTTATTTAAGTGAAAACGTCTATATACTATTTCGAGAATTAATAAATTATCCGAAAAGTTTATATGCGCTGAATGCCGCGCGTCTATAAAATAAATCTTTAAAAAAACAGCAGACATTCAGCCAGCGTGTGCGATAAACGCGCCAAAATTGGCAGCGCGTTCACTCCCTCGCCAAGAGAGAAACGTTTGTGATTCAGCCTGGTTTAGAGGAGCCTTAATTCTAACCTCCTTGTCTACTACAAACAAATTAATTCTATAACGCTCCATACTGCGCCCAGCTTTTCTTTACGCAGCATCGCCATCGGAATAGAAAGACTTAGCGGGTGCAACAAATGTCAGTGTTCCGTTACTGACTATGCTTGAAGTAATATTTTGAGTCTTTCTGTTATGTGTAGTTATTGTATGGAAATTATCTGCTGACTAAGCTGAACAAATATGCGAGGTCATTTTCGGTATTCTCAATGGGATCCCTTTCTCATAATTAGCCAAATAATAACAATTCAAGCGATTTTTTATGTCTCCCTCGGAGTGTGGATATTTTTTACTGATGTCATTTCGGGTTACAGTCAGTCATTAGACCAGATTTTTCTACATAAAGTAAGTAATCACTATAAATTAGTTTACAGATTTATATATGTTTTCTTGATAGGTTCGTTTAAATGGCATTTTGTAGCAGTGAACTTGTATTGCAAAATGGCATGAAAATAAGAAATAAGATAAATTTACTAAGAGAATATGAGTTTGTTCTGGATGTAAATTAATAGACCTTAACGAACTTCGTCTAATTATTTGTCATCTACAGAAAAAAATGGTTACTTTTGTAATTACGCATGTATATAAGAACTTAACGTTTCTGCTATTGAATGAACTGGATATTCTGAAATCCATGCTTTTTTAATAACCCATTGTCATGTGTCTGAAGATTAGGACTCAAATACGTATGGCATTTGTTTTTCCTTGCAACTATGAGGAGTTACTTTATTATTAAAATTTATTGGTTGACTCTGATGTGATCTCTAAATTGGAGTTGTTGAGTGGTTAAGATAGTTGTATTCTGGTAATTTGACTTGGGTTCAAACTTATTTGAAGAGGCTGGCTGCATAATTGGTTTTCCTTTTTTTCCCCCATGCCCTCTTTTACTTTGTCATATTCAGATAATCTAACCTAATGTATAAATGGGAGTTAATTCAGTCTGTATAAACTTTAATGATAAATTAATTCATTGATATCTTTTATTAACAGAAATTTAAATACTTTTTTGCTAAAATATATTGCTCTACTGTAGAATATGGTGCCCCTTCGATTAGCGACAATTTTTTTTTTTTAAATTTTGGCGATGAAACCTCACTTCTGGTTACAATGATAGTTTTAACTTTGTTTTAGCTTCCAGATTTTATTTAAATGAAAATAGATTGTGTTTTAGCTTCCAGATTTTATTTAAATGAAAATAGATTGTGTTTTAGCTTCCAGATTTTATTTAAATGAAAATAGATTGATGTGTACATGGACAAATTTAAGGCAGTACACAATGCCTAGTTTGTGCAATTCTAGGATGTTTTTTTAAGTGAAAACAAATCTATGTGTACATGGGTACAGAATTTGTGCAATTCTTTGACTTCTTATTTTGGTTTTGTGTAGTGGCCATCTTGTGCCTTCGTGTCACGGATCTTAGCGTCAAAAAAGAATCACAAAAAAACAAGGGGAACCCAATTGTAAACTTTTACCAAATATATTTATGACATATATTTGTTATGTAGGTACTTTTCCGTTTTGCCGGCGCAGGCGATAAAAGTCACCCGTAATGGTACAACTGATGCCAACCGGAATATCCTCGCTGGTAACTTTTTGCGCCTCATTTTCAAAAACAGGTAGCAACCATTTCTTATCAGATTGATTGTTCATCTTTGAGTTTTTGAGTTCGGCATACTAGTTTAATAGAATAGATTGTTCAGTTTTATGCCCTAAGGCCATTCGTGGTAATTAAGTCAATTAGGATGCAATCGCATTGCTCACCAGAAGGCTAAAATATAGAAAAAGCAATGTCAAGTGTTAAATTCAACCATTCTAATGAGATGCACTAGCAAAGTAAAGCGCTGCGGTTTTTTACATAATTTCTGAGTAAGCTGTTTCATACGAATTGAAATAATTCTTGCATTTAAACTTGTATTCCAAATTAAGATTTAACTTGAAATTAATGTAGATAATTACTGAGAAAATTATATTTTTGTAGTGTAGTTTGCGTGAGATGAGATCACTTGGGTCACGTGATATAAACCGTCGAATCTGGATATTGAACCATGAAAGGCATATTAAATTTTTAAATTTAATATATTTTTATAAATTTATTGGCATTTTACAAAATTTTAAATGATATTAAAATGTTTATGCCTTCAAAATAAAAAAATTCTCAGAACTAACATTTGTTAACATTTTTTATGTGTATACTGTATGTTGTCGCCAATAAAATCTGCTTGGCGAAATTTGCGCCAGTGAGACGGAAAAGTACCATTATGTACACCACTTGCACCTGCATTCGAGTTTACCTTTGTCTAGAGTATAGTGACAACTGTTAAATGAAATTGCCATGTAGTATTAAAGCAAAAAAATGGTTGGTTATTTGAAATCATTCTATAATTCAAGCAAATGAATTCTCTATCATTAGCTGAAATTGTCCTCAATTTATTCTCAGAAATGTAGTGATTGTAGTGCATTATTATTAAATTTAAATGTATTATTATAAATTTAGACCTTTTCCAGGATTTCAAAACAACAGTGTTATATCCAATCTGCAGTTTTTCATGTAATGTGAATTCTTGATATAATATTAAAGAATGATTTCTTAATTGTCATATAACAAAAGTAAAGCTTAGTTTGTTAAGCTATAGAAAATGAGCCAATAATTTTCATATTTGATTTAAATCAGGCTGGCCTTGTGTTACAAAGTATGTCAGATCTATTCAGTAGATTTACTTTATTTTCGGCATGTTTTTGAGTATACACACCATAGTAGCCATATGTATATTGTTTCTACATATGTTTGAATACACATAGATTTATATACTTTATATTGAACCATCATTTTGCTCTCCATTGAAATCTTATATGAATTTTATCAGATAAAGATATTTCATTTATTATCCTTGAGGTATATCAAATAACATTTGATGTGGCATAGCATTGGGGTGACGGTGGTACGTTGCACTGTTATATTGACTGCATGTCACACTTGGTAACTAATTTCAGTTTAATTGGCAAAAATCGCTGTTACACAAAGTCAAAATAATTAGTCAAATAATTGCACAAAATCCCTTCTAAACAAAAACCAAAATAACAAGTCAAGGAATTGCACAAACTCGGTATCCGTGTGCCGCTAAAAATCGCCAGCAATTTTTGGCGCAAAAATTGGTGCTACACGAAGCCAAAATAACAAGTCAAAGAAATGCACAAAATTGGTATCCATGTGCCGCCAAAGGCACCCATAAATATATTTTTACTATGAATTTCTTATTTTTGTGTTGTCTGCCGCATACTCTACCTCCAGTATCATGGTGATGATACATAAAAATTGGGAAAATGCATGTTGCTCAGAACGAGTGTGGGAAATATTTGGTTTAGCGTGATTTGCAGATCTAGGTTGTACTGTATCAAGAGAGTAAATATCCATGTTCGTAGTTCATATAAATGGTAGTTTCACATGGTCAATTGAAATTGGCACTATTTTTTCTGTTAGATTAGAGAGAAGGGTAACCCTTGTATTATCACGAAATTGTTTCATTTATGGTAGCCTGAGTATTTTAATGGTATGGAAACTCTATTATGATGTAATCGGTTGCATAATTGCAGTAAATTCGTAAGGGCTTGTGGTGTATGTGTGTGATGGTTAGGAAGTATATCTCTTGTTTTATGAATGTGTTACCTGTAAGTTTGCTTAGTGTTATAAATGAGTATATTATTCCGTAATGACTATAATTTCTTAGTGCTGGGAGGAGAAATAGACTGAACGGATTTATGGCTTTCTTGGATGCTATTATATTTATTTATCTGCTATTAAGAGCGGATGAGCCAAAATGACCAGATATTTAATTGAATTGCTTACGTGGACGAGGTGCTAGTGGGAGGCATTAACATATGCACGTGAAGAAAGGAAATTTTGAAGTAATGACGTTTTATTTATTTATTGGTGTCTGTGTTTTAATTTTTCTTGAAAGATTTGTTGTTTAATGTTTTTATGTTAGGAAATATGTATTTTTGGTTAATCATTATTCTGTGTTTGTGTATTTTTGGTTATTTGTTCGTGTCTGTGTGTTAAGACAGTGGCAAATTTTTTTCTGGTTAACATGATAGTTTTAACTTTGTTTTCGTTTTCTGATTTCGTTTAAGTGAAAATAGATCGATGTGTACGTGGAGAAAGTGAAATTAGTGCGCAATGCCTAGTTTGGGCCATTTTCTGATTTTTTTAAAAGTTAAAATAGGTTGATGTGTACATGGATAAAGTTAAATTAGTGCACAATGCTTAATTTGTGCAATTCTCTGATTACTTTTTTAATTAAAGTAGGTCGGTATGTGTACATGGATAAAGTTAAATTAGTGAGCAATGCCTAGTTGGTGTAATTCTCTGATTGTTTCAAGTTAAAATAGGCCAATGTGTACTTGGACACTGAGTTTGTATAAGTGTTTGATTTCTGGAAATTGGTGCTGATCTTGGCGTTAAAAAAAATCAGCGATATATATATACATATCTATAATGAAAGAAAGGCAAACTAACTAAACTTAAAAGGACCTGTGAGGTCTAGAATTTTGTGCATTGTGCTGCAAAATTTGAAATAATATTAAAAAGTAAATTCTTCAGGCTATTGCCTATGAGCTAAAGTGACACTGTGGCTCCTTTGCAAAGTAGTTTAAACACAAAGTAAAGATTGATTCAAACTTAAAAGTTAATATGTATGTAGAATAAAGTTAAAACTATCACAAAACATATTTGAAAAAATACTACAAAAATATGTTAAAAAACAATACGAAAGCAACGGTAAATGGAAAATTAGCCCAATTTGAAGATCACCATGGTCTTTTCAAGGGAAATGCATGGTGAGCTTCGAACTCCGCTAATTCCAGAACGTGTTTCGTCAAACAAGAAGCAAATTGAGATTGATGGCCTAAAGATTTTTTTAATTTATTAAAATGATTCAAATATTAATTAAAACCAAGTCTCAATTTCTCTGTTTCATTTCCCGATGCATCTGCTGTTAACAAGTACATGAGAAATACTAAACTTGTGCAAGAAAAACTATACAAAAAAGCCTGGTAAGGCCAATTTACAGTATTAAAATAAATAGTGAATTGCTAGTAGTCAACATATTCATGAATTTTTTATGGGTGATCCTTCTTAGTCTGAAGAGTTATAACTTTAAAAAGTAAGTAACAGTAACTATTTTTTGTAATAAAGATAATAAATGATTCAAATTGGGTCAGTTTATGACCAAAATTTAGAACAACGAAATGATGAAATTAAAAAACATGCCTGAATTAAAGACTTCTTTCTATGAGGAGCTATTTGCGAAAAATGGCAGAAAGAGGTAGTTGGAAGAAGCAAGAGTAAA